ATGCTGAGAAGTCATCATTTTCAGAAATTTGAAAAAGTGCTGAATGACCCCTCAGATGGCCACCAAAAGGGCAGAGACAGCAGTGGCTTAGACTGCTACAGCTCTCCTGTCCATGGCCACTCTTCTCAAGCACCAGGTTTAGAATTTGTATTTCTTTCTTTTTTTTTTTTTTTGAGATAGGATCTTGCTCTGTCACCCAGGCCAGAATACTGGGGTGGGATCTTAGCTCATTGCAGCTTTAAACTCTCGCGTTCAAGCAGTCTTCCCAACTCAGCTGCCCAAGTAGCTGGGACTACAGGCATGTGCCACCGTGTCTGTTTTATTTTTATTTTTCAGTAGAGATGAGGTCTTGATATGTTGCCCAGGCTGGTTTCAAACTGCTGGGCTCAAGTGATCCTCCCACCTCAGCCTCTCAAAGTGCTGATACTGCAGGCATGAGCCACCATGCCCAGCCAGAATTACAGAATTTGTCACTTCTAACATGACTTTTCTTACTATTATTCTTGAAAATTGTTCAGATAATTTCTTTTTTCTTTTTTTTGCAACCTCTGCCTCCTAGGCTCAAGCGATCCTCCCACCTCAGCCTCCTAAGTAGCTGGGACTACAGGCGTGCACCACCATGATGGACTAATTTTTGTATTTTGGTAGAGACGAGGTTTTGCCATGTTGCCCAGGCTGGCAGATAATTTCTTTCAAAAATAATTTCATCAGGTTTGTGTTTTTAAGAAACAAACGGATAATTTGACCACATTGCTAATAAATTTTACTTTCTGGATTAAATACATTGGAACGTCACTCAAACACTGTTTCACAGTGAGTACAATTTGTCAATGTGGATTCTGCTTTGGGACACATCTACATAGTTTCTAATAGGCCACAGATCCCCGGTAGGTTTTCTCACCCATAAGGAAGCCTTGTAGCATAGCTATCAAGGACTGATTTATAGGCCAGGTGTGGTGGCTCATGGCTGTAACCCCAACACTTTGGGAGACTGAGAGCAGATCACCTGAGGTCAGGAGTTCGAGACCAGCCTGGCCAACATGGTGAAACCCCATCTCTGCTAAAAATACAAATTATTTTTAGCCAGGCGTGGTGGTGGGCGCCTATAATCCCAGCTACCCTGGAGGCAACAGAATCGCTTGAACCCAGAAGGTAGAGGTTGCAGTGAGCTGAGATCACGACACTGCACTCCAGCCTGGGCAACAGAGCAAGACTCTGTCTTTAAATAAATAAATAAATAAATAAATAAGATTGCTCTATAGAGGCTCCAGGTTTTCATTTAAAGGCGTGAGACACTTCCGGTATAGCAATTAAGGTACATAGATTTAACAGGTGGAGAGGATTAGGCTGTACAACAGCTTGCGTTTCCATTGCTTTAAATGGTTATTGGTTTCATCTTTTCCTTCATGCATCATTCAAACCACAGCATTTTAAAATAACTTCTAAGAAATAGCCAGATAGAGTTCCACATATAAAATACGACAATTTCAGAAATGGCATGGTGCCAAAATTTATTATCCAAAAAATTCTATTTGGCTCATGTCTACACTGTTAGAATCCTTTGCCCAAATCACATCTAGGGT